TCTAGTTAGAAGACTTCTTTAAGATTCTATTGGCCCTATTTAGTGCCATGCGATGGTTCCAAAATTATAGATTTTTGAAATAATCAATGATTATATTTGACAATAGTCTGTTTTTTCTTTCTTTTCTTTCCTTTCTGTGAGCACTAAGAGGATCTTTATTTGTAATTACGTCCATCATGGGTTGGGCCAGGTCCATGGGACAACAAATTCAATTGATTTTACACACAAAAATTGGTTTGATTTAAATATTTGATTAGTCAATAAAATTAGTTTAATTAGAATTATTCACTCGTCGATTGCCTAGTTACTTCTGAAATTCATGAATTTTTCATGAAATTCATGAATTTTTACAATAATGTTACCTCGTTTAGTGTCCCTATTTCTGGTTTGAAATGATGGCAACCTTATTTATGGGAAACATGTGACATGACCACTAAAATTCAAGCCGTCTTTTATTATTGTTTTAAACGATACCAACCGTTAATGAATTATACGAGAGTTGTTCAAAAAGTTCCCGAACTTTATTTATTACAAAAAAAATACTTCACTTACAATTTATTTGTCAGGGTCCCCTTCAAAGTAGTCTCCTCCGCAACGTATATACTTATTTCAACGGTGTTACCACTTTTTGAAAAAGTCCTGGAACGTTTTTTCCGGAATGCTCATAAGCTCCTCCGTCGTTTTTTTCCTATCTCTGGAATGGTAGCAAATCTTTTTCCTTTGAGCGTGTTTTTTAGTTTGTTGGGGAACAGGAAAAAGTCGCATGGGGCCAGGTCAGGTGAGTACAGTAGGTGGGGAAGCACAGTGGTCTTGTTTTTGGCCAAAAACTCACGAGTTCTGAGGGACAAATGAGCTGGCGCATTGTCGTGGTGAAAAAAACCACTCGTCCATCCTCCAAAGTTCGGGCCGTTTTCGCCTGATTCTGTCTCTTAGGCGTTAGTACTCCGTGTTGACTGTCTGGCCTGTAGGTATTCATGATGCACAACTTCCTTTGCATCGAAAAAACCAGTCAACATCACCTTAACATTTGAGCGAACTTGTCGAGCTTTTTTGGGGCGGGGGGATCTTTCACCCACACGTGGGAAGTTTTCGTGAAGGATTTCTCGAGTTTCACACATAGTTTCACAGAACAACGCTGCTCCTACAAAGAGCTGATTTCCGCGGATCCGATTTTTCGCCGAACTCCACAAACACCCCTTCACATAAACGGCCGTAACTAATCACCAAAACAAGATATCAACAAACGGGTTGAAGGAGGTTACTCGGGAGGTTTCCGCGGACATAACGCCTCCAAGCGAATTAAATAATAACCAACTGGAGGCGCGCTATTCAAAAAGTTCGGAAACTTTTTGAACAACCCACGTATAAATGTCCTTATCACCGTAAACAGTTTAAGTGATTAAAATACCGTATCNGAGGTTACTCGGGAGGTTTCCGCGGACATAACGCCTCCAAGCGAATTAAATAATAACCAACTGGAGGCGCGCTATTCAAAAAGTTCGGAAACTTTTTGAACAACCCACGTATAAATGTCCTTATCACCGTAAACAGTTTAAGTGATTAAAATACCGTATCATATCTGCATAATGTTGATAATTTAAAAATAAATATAATATAGTTTATTGATAAGGTATTTTTTTTTCTTTAACTGTTTCCACCCTGTGGGCACTAAGAGGGCCTCTTTTTAGCAGACCCATTACGGGTTCGGCCAGGCCCACAATGGAGCGGCCGGATGGTAAGAGACGGGGACCGACATATCCGGACGGACCACCCCCGAAAAATTCCTGGGGATTTTTCGACCTGTCACATTGACCGCTCGGCCGTCTGGCCGTCCAATATGGTATTTTAAAACAATCAAGAAATTTAAATTATATATTTTTTAAACTACTGAAAATAAATTTCATTATTTTAAATAATGTGTTAACTTACTTCTTTTTTCATCTCTTTCAATAATGCTATTAAAATATGTACTACTGGTAGCCCAGGATGCCCCCTAGTGGGAGTTTTTTTACAAATTCCCATGAGGCATGGTTCCTTTGACTTTTTTGTTCCTATTGATATGCTCTACAGCTCNTAAAGCAGTTACCAGTTTTATTTTCATTTTTTTCTCGTGTATAGTTTTAGAAAATTATCATTATTTCAATTTTATCCAATATACAGTATATTATTATCCAATTTTTCAATTGGAAATAAAGTATGGTTCTGCAGGGCATGAAATAGATGGTAGTCAATTGACGTCAAATCTGGACATAAGGTGGATGAGGCAGAACCTCCCAACCCAGACTGGCAGCTTCTCTAACGTTATTTTAGTTCTATGTGCTGGCGTGTTGTCGTGGCGGTATCGGATTGTCAATTTTTGGACGAAGTTCTTTGATCTTGATGTTCAAACAATCCAGTTGTTCAACAGTAGAATTCTTTCAGTGATGTTGATTGGAAGCAGATCCATCACGATGATGCCAAACGAATACAGATAATCGCCTTCTTCTGCACTATCGGCCCTTTGACATTTGCAACAGCTGATTGACTTTTGTTTACCCATGAACGTTTTAATAAATGCTTTACAGATGAGATCTTGAGCCTTCGTTGCGTTGAGGCCACTTTCGAAGTGTTAACATCCTGATATTACATGATATCACATAACAACTAGTATTAAATGATAATATGTATGTTAGAAACAATTTTAATAATTTTTATAAATAGTAATTTCATTTACTGATATAAATTGATACTATTTCTTATCATTTCGTCTTTTAAAACTAACGAAAAACCATTTCAGAAATGATATCAAATAATGCCATCGATGATGATGAAATGCTATTTTCACTAGAGTAAAGCCGATATCATTTTATTCCTACTAAAATTTTGTAAATATTCTCCCCCTAATTTATTATTGCAGGCAAAAGCCAAACAACTCGTTGCCTTTTAAAGCACAATATGACCAAAACCTCTGGTAACATGGCGGACAAATTATATTAGAGAGAATAGGTGCCTCAACACAGAACCGCCATTCTAGTTAGAAGACTTCTTTAAGATTCTATTGGCCCTATTTAGTGCCATGCGATGGTTCCAAAATTATAGATTTTTGAAATAATCAATGATTATATTTGACAATAGTCTGTTTTTTCTTTCTTTTCTTTCCTTTCTGTGAGCACTAAGAGGATCTTTATTTGTAATTACGTCCATCATGGGTTGGGCCAGGTCCATGGGACAACAAATTCAATTGATTTTACACACAAAAATTGGTTTGATTTAAATATTTGATTAGTCAATAAAATTAGTTTAATTAGAATTATTCACTCGTCGATTGCCTAGTTACTTCTGAAATTCATGAATTTTTCATGAAATTCATGAATTTTTACAATAATGTTACCTCGTTTAGTGTCCCTATTTCTGGTTTGAAATGATGGCAACCTTATTTATGGGAAACATGTGACATGACCACTAAAATTCAAGCCGTCTTTTATTATTGTTTTAAACGATACCAACCGTTAATGAATTATACGAGAGTTGTTCAAAAAGTTCCCGAACTTTATTTATTACAAAAAAAATACTTCACTTACAATTTATTTGTCAGGGTCCCCTTCAAAGTAGTCTCCTCCGCAACGTATATACTTATTTCAACGGTGTTACCACTTTTTGAAAAAGTCCTGGAACGTTTTTTCCGGAATGCTCATAAGCTCCTCCGTCGTTTTTTTCCTATCTCTGGAATGGTAGCAAATCTTTTTCCTTTGAGCGTGTTTTTTAGTTTGTTGGGGAACAGGAAAAAGTCGCATGGGGCCAGGTCAGGTGAGTACAGTAGGTGGGGAAGCACAGTGGTCTTGTTTTTGGCCAAAAACTCACGAGTTCTGAGGGACAAATGAGCTGGCGCATTGTCGTGGTGAAAAAAACCACTCGTCCATCCTCCAAAGTTCGGGCCGTTTTCGCCTGATTCTGTCTCTTAGGCGTTAGTACTCCGTGTTGACTGTCTGGCCTGTAGGTATTCATGATGCACAACTTCCTTTGCATCGAAAAAACCAGTCAACATCACCTTAACATTTGAGCGAACTTGTCGAGCTTTTTTGGGGCGGGGGGATCTTTCACCCACACGTGGGAAGTTTTCGTGAAGGATTTCTCGAGTTTCACACATAGTTTCACAGAACAACGCTGCTCCTACAAAGAGCTGATTTCCGCGGATCCGATTTTTCGCCGAACTCCACAAACACCCCTTCACATAAACGGCCGTAACTAATCACCAAAACAAGATATCAACAAACGGGTTGAAGGAGGTTACTCGGGAGGTTTCCGCGGACATAACGCCTCCAAGCGAATTAAATAATAACCAACTGGAGGCGCGCTATTCAAAAAGTTCGGAAACTTTTTGAACAACCCACGTACATTTTCTTTAGATTTTAGAATTCACAATAACCATATAAAAAGCAATATATTTTTGTTTATTTATTTATTTATTTTGTTGCAGTTTAAATTAGTTGCTTTAAATATTTTATTTCATTTTAATCAGAATTACGTATTAATATTACAAAAGCAATCAATTTACTTATTTATATTATCTTCGATGAAAGTAACTTATCGATATTTTTATTAAATGTCCTTCTCGTTTGATTTTGTTCTCCTTTTAATCGACTATCATCAGATTTGCAATTTTTAAAATACCGATTAATATTTTTTAAATAGAATTTAAATATTTATATATTTTATTTATCCGTTCGATTTTTTTTCATTAAATAAATAACTGTAAAGAATATTTTTCTTAAGAAAAAATGTCAACATTATTCGTCTAAACGCGAAAATAAATAAACTGGAAATATGAAAAGACATCTTCGTATGTTATCAGATTTTAATTTTTTATCTAGTATATCTTAACACTTAAAACAAGAATAACAACGAAAGAACAACGAAACTTCATCGTTATACTCCCAAAGAGTGGATTGAACTGCTAATATTTAAACCAATGAACGCAATGCTTTTTAGCCAACCACCATCTAGGAAAAGTCCGTCTTTAACCAATGGTACTATAGATAAGAATATCCAATCGGATAAAGTTTATAATTTAACTGGGCCAATCCGCGTTGGCCTTGTTTTGACGTCACATGATCCGTAAGTGAGAGAATCAACGTTTGTTTGGAAAGTTCTTTAGCTTCTGTTTGTTGTGATCTGGTAAGTTCGATTGTATGAATGAATTTATTAATTAAAGTTTATCTTCATATTTAACATAATCGTTATTCGTTTTATTAATAGACGAAATTTAATGAATAATTGCTGAAATAAAGATAAATTAATGTTGTCATTGTCTTTCTGGTTAGTCTTAGTAATGACGGCCATTTTTTTTTATTTTTAATTTTTACAAACTTAAAAATTTAAATTTCGTTTACTTTAAGATTGAGGTAATAATTGATGTTTTTTAAAAAAGAAAAGCGTATAGAAATATGATTTGTAACGGTGTGTTATTAATGTGTGTCGATGGACTTCCATTTTCCCGCTGTTCGTTTGGCAGCATTTCAATTCAACACTTCCTTTCTATCATCTGATTGCACGTGCGTCATTGCCTTGTGAGCATGGTTCTTTTCGTTTTGATCTACACGTGTTTAATTTAGACGGCACGTGTTGCTTGTATTTAACCATTCTGATTTCAAAACATGTTTACCATTTAATGAAATTCATCTTTATTTTTTCATACGAATTCTTATTGATTCTATTGATTTGCTTGATTAAAATTTTTAAATTGGTTTCTTTGTTCGTTGATGAACGTTCTTTTAATTTGGATATAGATATACAGTAATAAGATATTAACAACAGAGTCTCATCTGAATCTGTTAATATTTACAAAATGAACTATTCTACAGAGTTCTGACAAAAGAAAATAACGAATAAAACTTTCAAAAAGTTTATATATTTTGATTTATGGTGTAGTGTTTTTTGTTCTAATAAAAATGAATTTATCAAAATATTTCGAAATAAATTATTTTGAAATGTCAAATTTTACCTGTGATTAATTTTTTTTAAACTTGTTTCTAAACTTGTGAGAGTACAGTATTTTGAAATAGTGATTTATATTTCATAGTATTCATGGAATATGAATTGATAGAGATATTTATATAAAACTTGATAACTGAATTAAGTTTATTGATTTTATTTGGCAAGAAAATTAATTTAAGCATGCATGTTAAAAAACTACCTATTTCTTTTTTTAATATAGTTATGAAAAATTTATAAAATTAATTTTTAAACATTGAATATTTCATATTATCAGAACAGTTACCTAACAGTATTTTTTACTATCTGAAATTGTCTTTTATTTTCAAGAACAGTTTTAAGCATTTAATAAGATTTATATACTTAATAATTTTCTAGAGCTTATTTTCCTTTTATTGATTTTAAGACAGTTTATTTATATTAATTTATTGAGGAATTCATTTAATATTTTGACACTATAGTTCATTTTGTAAATACAAGAAAATTTTAACTTTCTTAGAGGGTGATAATTTCATTTCCCATGATGCTGATGATAAAATGGACAAGAAATTTTAGAAGAATGAATTTGATAGTAATTAAGAATGGATAACTCAGTGATGATTTGATATTTTCTCTGGATATAATTTTATTTCAGGGTGGGAGCTTCTATTGCCAATCTCTTCCTGTAGTCAACCATGTAAGCCAAAATCCATGCATTCAAGCAGGTTTAGGTGATCCATCTTCACAGTATCATAAGATGACCCCATTCTCAATGATATATAAGAATAACAGGTTGCCTCACTTGGTGATGGGGAAACTTATTGTGCAATACCCCATCTGGTAGTTGACCATGTGAGGAATTGTCAGGTCTTTAGAAGATAATGAGGGTTGTGTTTAGGTGCATATTTTCTACAAAATGCCTATTATTGAGCCTGCTTATTCTTTCATGGTTACCACATTTGTGAAACTCTTGACAAAGGAAAACTCAGTTGTGAATGCCATAAAAAATCCTGTGACCATGTTGATCAACTATTGGATGAACAGCCCATGATTATTTTTTTCTTAAAGTAAAGAAAGGTCTAATTTAAAAAGTTTCTTTTTTCCCATGACAAGTATAGAATAAACTTTATTTTCGTATATGAATTTTGGTTTTTGCATTACTATACATTGTAATAAAAAATATCAAAAGTCTAAAATATCTAAATGGTCAACTATTGGTGCCTTTTCCATTATTTTTTAAACAATTTTAATTATCAAGAAATTAAAAAGGTAGTACATTCACATGTTATACTTTTATCAGATGTATAGTAATCAAATATGATTATATTTATATAAAAAGTTAGGTGTCATTAAATTAAAAGAAGATTTTGAAAAATTATCATCACATTTTTTATATAATTTCTTAAAATATGGAGACTTAATTACTTTTTGAATAAATAAAAAAGTTCATTATTATTTTTTTTTTCCTTGAAATTTTTCTGAGATTGGCTGATTATAACTGGCCTGTCTCATAGTAAGTCTCTGATGAAGCAACTTGCTAAAAAGATTCAGTATATTAAAAAAAAGTTTAATATGCTTCATTGGTTGATTAGAGTGCATTTTAGGCTGAATATCCTCAATCTGAAATCCATAACTGTTGCTATAGTTAACCAAAATACAAATACATTTAATGATAATGTAATTGCCTACTTCAGAAAAGTTTTAAAAAGCAGACAAAAACACACAACACTGAACAAGTTCTTTATTAAATCGAATGCTACTGAATCATCGGCAAAACAGACCCCATGATCATAATTGGAATTGCCTAATGTTTTAATTGCTATGTCTTCTAAACAATAATACTATATTAAAATAATACTGTTCTTCCCCTTCTACCACTATACTGTATTTATTTAGTACAATAAAGATAAAGTTTTACAAACAGCATAATTTTTATTCTTGTACCTTTTTTCAGGATGGGAACAGATTAATTGAATATCAGTTATTTATTATGAGAAAAATTGTTTTTATATTCATTATATTCCATATTCATTAGGCCCTTAGGAACAGATTAATGACGAATATAGAGGTTCCACTTTATATATATACACTTTAGAAACCTGATAAAATTCTTCACAGAATAGGAAAATATATATATAAAAGATTTTTTTTTTAGGTATGCACCCTGGATAAGGAGTAGAAAAAAGTTATTAGTGTGTCATGTTTGGTGCACATATCAAGGGTTGCTACCCCTAATGTAAGGGGAAAAGTAATTTTATATTCATAAGTATTATATATAAAACCTTTGACACTTTTTCTAGCAATTTCTTTAATAAAACTAACATTTTCTGGCTATATTTAATGACCTTCCTCAGATTCTACAATATGGAAACATCAGATATTTGAAAATTTGTTTTGAAAAAAGAAAAACAAATTTTCGAATATCTGACGTTCCATATTGTAGAACCTGAGGAAGGCCATTAAATATAGCCAGAAAATGTTAGTTTTATTAAAGAAATTGCTAGAAAAAGTGTTGAAGGTTTTATGATACTTATTTACAGAAGTTCTACCTTTATGTGCACAGAATTTTATATTCACTTGGTATTTTAAAAATTCAGCTTATCTTAGTAATTTGTTTATGTGTGCTTAATTTTTGTAAATATAACAACATAAAGTATATTTTTCCATTAAATTAGTAGATAGGTTTAATGTGATGTATGCTGCTTCAGTTTGATAGCAAAGTAAAATTATAGTTATGTTTATGAAATAATATTTTATCACATACATTGTTAATGTCAAAATTAAAATTGACAAAGAATGAGTTATTTGCTAATAATTACTGAAGATCAGAAATTCTGTATACTGAAAAAGCATTTATATACAATCTAGTAAAGTACACTTTGGGACAATTCCATGCTTTTGACAATGCAAGAGAAACAACAGTTTGGCTCATTGTCTACACCATTGTTCTCTAGATTTCAACAAAACAACATAAAGAAATGATTCTTTGCAGTTTTTATGAAAGCAATAAAATTTTTGATTGATTATTTAAATTTCATGGAAACTGAAGAAACATTTCTTTGTTGTTGAAATCTAGAGAACAGGGGCATAGACAAGCCCAACTGTTGCATTTATATATACAGTAGAGCGTCGTTTATCCGAATCCATTGGGGACTGGGGTTGTTCGGATAACTTATTTTTCGGATAACTGATTATGTATGAAAAAATATATTAACCTATTCCAAGTTAAAATTTTTCTCCATTGTCTGTTGCTTTGCATTGAATTTTCATTTATGTTAAGCCTAATGTAAACTTTTTAAAATAATCGTGGCTATTGTATCATTAAAAATTATTTCTTTATTTTTTACAAAACAAAATAAATATATTGAAAAATGTAAAAACAAAAAAAATACGTTAGAAGTTAATCTAGTATCAAAAACGTTTGATTCAGCATGACACACAGTCCTCAGAAAAACACCACACAAAAGTGTCAGTGCTGCCAGCTAAAACACATCAACAAAAAAAATATTGGAGTAGCCCAAGATATAGCCAAAAATTGCAGCGCCACAGCACTAGCGAAAATTTAAATTTGCCGACTGAAATTCTTTCGGATAAACGACGCTCTACGGTATATAAGAATAGGAATAAGCATTGAAAAATGTCACACACAGCCACATAACAGCCAGTCAGTCAGTTTTATTTATGATACTTGATCTATATTCTGCCAATCATGCTAGTTTTAACATTGCACTCCAGCAAACCAGAAATGCCACTATTATTTCTCTCTCACTTCAAGATTTAATCAAACATTTGAAGCATACTTATGTCATATTTTCAGTTGAAAGTTCATAACTTGCATGTGTTGAGAGTCATTATATATTCATTATTTTCCTAATTAGTTTTGTGCTTGTAATTGTTTGAAATGAAAATGATTTTTATTCTAGACTAGCTGTTACCTGCAACTTTGCCCGCAGGGGTTTGCAAGCAAACCCCATTTATATTTAGTATTTCAACAACCATAGAAATTGTTATATAACACCTACTACTGAGAATGATGAGAATTGCTGAGAATCAAACGAACTGTTTTCAATTTGATCAATTTTTTGGAACGTTTACAATCGTTCTATAATCGAACCAATGTGCAATAACAAATTTGAATTTAAAATGATTCGAACATTTGGTTAAAAAATCAAAATATATGAAAATATTCATAACAATGTCTTGAAATGTTATCAATTTAATATACACCTAAGTACTCAATGAAGACTAAACATAGTTGAAAAAAAATTGCATCTAAAATAGTACAGTAGAAGCTGTTCTTTGGGTTAAGCCTTAATCCTGTCCCTCTCCCCCATGGGGGAGAATTTCCAAAAATTCCTTTTTAGTGTGCATTCTCATGGCGTACCCTACTAAAACATAGTTGAAAACAAAAAATCACATCTAAAATAGTACAGTAGAAGCTGTTCTTCAGGTTAAGCCTTAATCCTCTCCCCCTGCGGGGGAATTTTGAAAAATCCCTTCTTGGTGTGCGTTTTCATGATGTACCCTAACCGTACTAAATTTCACCTCTAGGTTCAGCAGTTTGCTCTGGGCGATGATGAATCAGTCAGTCAGGACAAGTAATTTTATATATTTAGATGATAACTATGGTTGTAAGTTCAGTTCTGTTATAATATAGTTCTATTTTTCTTTTTAAACTTTGTGTTAAAAATTAAGAAAGTAAAATTTTTACATTCCATAATTTTTTGTCCCAAGTATCTGTTCTATGCATAGCCAATCAACACAAATTAATTTTAAATTATTTTTTGTTTTATAAACATAGGTCTTCCATAAGTTATGTAATATAGGTTTGGGTAGATTTGCAGAGAATTATATTGCATTACAAGGTGGTGGGAGAAAGCATTACATAAAAGTTTTTGTAAACAAAGATCTCAACCCTTGCATAACAGGATGATTTGGTTTTATTTCCAATCAGCTGCATAGCAAACTGTACTATTTATATCACTGCTTTGTACATAATGTTCAGTACCCTGTTCTGTGTATTATTTCTTATAATAATTAAGGGGTTATGCTAGGATATACAGTAGAACCTCGATTATCCAACCCAATTGGGGACTGGGGTTGGTCGGATAATTGAAAAGTTGGATAACCGAAAAGTATGAAAAAATCCATTATTAGTGTAGTATATTATTATATCCCAGGTAATTAGTATATTAGCATATCGCTATTAATCTACTTCATCGATGTTAAGCCTAACAAAAATTTTTAAAAATAATAATCGTCGCAATTGTATCGTTAAAAATTAGAAAATTAAGCCTCATTTAAATACTAGCTCCCTTTCATGGTCGAATGAGGGTTGCCAGCTAAAACATGTAAAAATAATATTAAAGTAGCCAAGACATAGCCAAATATTGTAGCGCCACATCACTAGCGGACATTTGAAATTTGCCGACTAGGACGGTCGGTTAACCGAGGTGTCGGTTAATTGGGGGTCGGATAATCGAGGCTCTACTGTACATTAATTAAGCAATGTTGGAGGTGGGTATGATCTTTATGATTGATCTAAGCAATATAGTCTGATACAATTTAGTAATCATTTGGCTTTAAAATATAACTACTAGCAGATGAGCCCAGCATTGCTCAGACAAAAAGTAATGAAAACAAAGATTAAGATTATTAGATTATTTCATACTTCTAATCCTTCTATTCTAGTAGCCCGGGACACTCCCTAGTGTGTGTTCTAGCAGCAGCAGTGTTATTCTATGGTATAAATAATAAATTCCTATTACAAATAATAATAACATACTGAATTTATTATTGTTACTTTAAATAATAGCTAGAGGGTGCCCTTAGTGGCCATGTTTGGCATACAGTAACAGAAAGAAAGAAAGAATTCAGTTTTTTCATATTTATATAGTTAGATTTGTCTTGAAAGTTTGTATTTGCCTTACTTCCTTTTTTTTTAACTTCATAAAACATTGTCTAATGTACATGTTCACATCCATTTTCAATTACTAATCTTGGAAAATGAAAGTTATGCATTCTATGCATTTTTAATAAAAATGCCTGTATGTTGTTTGTGATGACATTGTTGGTAATGCTGGAATGGGTTGTCATATTTTTAACTGTCTCAACATGAATTTTTCATTATGGCATTGCATTTTGTTAAATGCCAGAACATGCTATGACTTTATTAGTAGCTGGGACATAAAAGGTTTTGTTATGGGTGTTTCTTTAAAGCCATACTGTTTTCTGGTTGTTTTTTTTCTTTGTTAATTAATTAAGCATTTTTTTATCTTTTGGTGTAACATGTATATTTAAGAATTTTAATACTTTCAACAAAATTAAATTGTTTTTGCACAACTGAATTTTGGAAGCTTTTCAGTAAATTTAAAACTTTTCTTTATTACAGAAAGCCAGTATTAGATGGTGCTGTAATAAACTTATCCATTTTTGATTGCTTAATGATTATACAAATTTATTTGGTACACTAATGTGATATGGGTCTGAGAAAATAATCTAAAAGATGAATTTGTGTTTTGTAATAAATAATATGTTTTTGTGAGACAGTGCAATTTAGATTTGTTTGACTTGTTATTTAAGAATGTAAATAGTCATGATATGTTTACAATCAACATTTTGCAGTTTTTCTAATACAAGAACTTGAAAATGACATAGCCAACATTTTTGTGTATTTTTTAGTGTTTTGTGAAAGTAAAACAATTGAAAATATTTAAAATCATCTGCATTGTGATGTGCTGAACATGAATCACAATCCTTTATTGTGAAAATCTATTGTTAAAGAAAAAATTACATTTAATTTGAAAAGTCATTCTTGGCTTTTAAATTCAAAGAGAGGGAAATTTGATATTTTTTGTTTCAGGGATTTTAATGCAGCAAAACAAAAAAGAACTAAAAAAATAATCATTATTATTATTTTTATATTACAAAATATATTACAAAATTTAAATTATTTCATCACAAGGATAAACGTACATTTATTGAGGTAACCAAAAATTTTATATGTGAAGTCATCATTATAGTTATGTTTTCAATGGAGTTTAAATAGTGATAGTTCTAATATTAAATTTGCCTTAATAAAAACTTTCTTTAATATAAATGGAACTATATGCTGTTGGATAATTTAGAATAATAATAGTTTTACTATTCCACAATGGCAATTTTTTTAAATCAAGAGATAAAAGTTTAATAGTTATAATATTGAATTGTCCTGTTTAGATGTGAAAATTTGAAAAATAGCTAAATATTTTGATTATGGCTAAGGAATGTGTTTGTTAACTTTAAACCATTAAACAAATGAAACTTTAATATACTTAATTTTCAGAAGAATAAGATATGGCTCGTACAAAACAAACTGCGCGAAAATCAACTGGTGGTAAAGCTCCTCGTAAGCAGCTTGCTACAAAGGCTGCAAGAAAAAGTGCACCATCGACAGGTGGAGTAAAAAAACCACATCGTTACCGACCAGGTACTGTGGCTCTTCGAGAAATTCGTCGTTACCAAAAATCCACAGAATTGCTAATAAGAAAATTACCTTTTCAACGATTGGTAAGAGAGATTGCACAGGATTTCAAAACTGACCTGAGATTTCAAAGTGCTGCAATTGGAGCTCTTCAAGTATGTATTGTTAACTAAAATTATTATTATTGTATATATATATAATTATTCTCAATTCTTATTTCAATTACCTATTTGTGACTGAGTGAATTATTAAAATTTAGTATTGGGAGTAAAACATCATCCATTGTTTCTTGATTCTTGTCAATGAATATTCAAGGATGTTATCACTAACAATAATTGGCATGAAAATAATTGCATTTCTGATCTATAAGAAGAAATGCACTTCTAATAAAACACTTATAACAATGTATAAGCATTGTTAATCAGTATTTAGGATATTTTTTTAATGGAGATGAAATGGAGAGCAGTCCTGTTAAATTTTTAAATATGTGCTAATTAAAATCCAAACACTTGAATTCTTATTTCCTATTCTTCATACAGGATTTTAATTTATATTTTTTGGCATAATTAAAATTTTCACTGGTATTAAGTAATTACTAGATATGTGACATCAAGAAACTGAAGATGATGTTTATCAATGTAGTTAGACTGGGTGGGGAGTTTGAGCACTGATATGTCACAAATGAACAATTATAAGTGATTTATTGTTGAGAAAAGAAAAAAATATGATGAAAAAAACAGATAAAAAAAAGAGAAGTGTAATAAAGAAATTAAAGTAAACAAAAAAATAAGAAATAAAAGAATAATAAAATAAAATCATTTGGCATTTAAGTGGGAAAAGTCTTGGATAAATTGGAGTCGCATGTTAAAAGCAGCCACATTTGAGATTTTGTCCAGTCTCCACTGAGGGAACTACGTCTAAAACAACATCAGTGAGTTGCTTGACATGATTAAAAAACATGTATTTGAAATAGTTACATAAAAGTTGAAAATTTCCAATGGGACAAGAGGAAGGAGTTGAGCCAGTTTAATCTGGAGCAGGGTCAGTAGCTTGTATTCAGGTCCACTTCAGACATGATCCTGGTGTCTATGCTGACCCCCACAGAAAAACCAAATCGCCCAAGAAAAAGACAAAATTGCTTTGTCTCTGCCAACCATTAGGCCTACATGACATTAGTGCTGTGATCTCCATGTGGGGTACACAAAGTGTTACGTCACATGGAGATCACAGCACTAATGGGGGTACGTCAAGTTTCACTTTGTACCCCCTATAAAATATTATATTATAGAGGGTATAGCTTAGAATTATTTTGTCTTAGGGGTATGTGATCAAAAAAGTTTGGAGATCACTGAATATGTAGAGTTGACATATTTTCAGATCCCTAAAATATATCAAAAATTGCTAAATTCCTTTTCTGCTACTGTCCCAATTAAACATTTAAATTATGTATTCCCATTATTAGAGCTAGGTAACATGGTGCCATCTAGTGGAAATGAGGGACATTCCTTTTTTCTTAGAATTTGTATAACTTTTCTGTAGTTCAACTGAAATTCATCAAACTGGAAAAATATCAAGCAACTGTGTGCCTTTATATTCCAAAAAAACAGCACCCAAAAATGTCAAAATGCTTTTTTGTTATTAAGCGCCAAAGTGAAGAAAGTTGACACTTGTTTTTTGAATATATCTTTTCTCAGAGTGGATTATATTTTACAAAAAGTATTTCTGACAAAGGACAAGATTACACTGAGCATTTTGACGCCAAAATCATGAAAATCTAATGTGGGAATTATTTTTAAAAATTCTGACAAGAAAGTGAAAATGATACCCCAGTAACCTGTGTTTTGCCCAGGCAATTAATAATCCCTAAATATTTTATCAGCTTGCTTGCTTTTTATCCAGAAGTTATATAATTACAAATAGTAATGTATTTATACCTGCAGTATGTCGTGAATAGTGCTAAATCTAGTAATGATCATTGTAAATGATTAAGATTTTAAGATCAAAGTTTTAGATCATAATTTCACTTAGTTATTGTACAAAAATAAGCAAAGTCTTATAACAATTTATTAATTCTAAAACAAACACTCCTGTAATTTTTATATGTTAACTATTTTTATCTTTAAAGTTAGTGATTAAGTCAAAGATACTGCTTTCATGATCAAACTTTTGAAGACTAGAGGAAATTTCAAATTAGAATGCATAGAACATAACAATAATTGGTCTTTTTCTATGTATGATATAATATATTACAGTGATGTGGTCAGAAATTTTTGAGTGTGTGATCATAGGCAGACCAGTCAGAGAATCAAAGTAATAAGTTTCACATTTTAGAAAGTTGTAAAGTTGTGTTTTTGGAAGTCCTCAGTGCTACAGATGTAACCATGGTGGGATAATATTGGCAACAAATCCAATCATTATAGTAAAACAGCATAAGTCTGAAATATTTTTCAACACATCACAAGATTCAGATTGCTCTCTATTGAAATTAAGGCAAAATGCATTATATAAAATAATCTGTCAGTAGGATCATGGTACATTTTCAGAAACTTGTACCAATAAATCTCTCTACAATATAGTCTCTAGTTTGAGTTGATTGGGATTGGGTCATCCTTGAACTATTACAATATATAGCAATACATCCATTGTATTAAAATGTTGCTTTAGCAATAACAATAATGTATTGCACTTACAATACATTGAAATATGTGACCCTATCATTTGACAACACAATAAATTGAAAGCCAGTGTGCTTACAATTTCAGTGTATGGTGTTTCATCACACACATGATTTTAGTTACCCAAATATGTAATTCTTATGCATTCTGGTTGAGTACATATACTTTGGCTTGAGGCTGGTAGTGTTTTGAACTATAAAGATTCTACTCTATAATATAGATATGGATTCAACATTATATATATCATATGAGAGTGACTAAACTGGTTTTTATGAAACTTTGTAGCTGTATTTAGGATAGTAATGGGAAGGACATAAATTAATTTCCATTTCCAAAATTGTTCAATTTTATAAACTTTGATGGAATTATGATGTTGTTTTCAATAGCAAATAGTTCAATCTATCAATAGTTCTTATCAAATCAAACCCACCAGTGGCTAAATGGCTAAACCATTAAACACTGGTTGTGAGTTGCACCTTACTAGTGGGCTGACTGCTTTAAGTTTTCTTGATTTTCTTCATTTGTCTAACACCTAAATAGAGGCCAGTTTCCATAAAAAGTCCTCTTGCAGATCCATTGCCTTACTCCACTAATTCAATCTACTTCTCATCAGGAGACCTATTCTGAGCTCTTCCGATAACTCAACGAGAGTGATACACGGGACATTCGATAAGTCCCCTTTGCGAAAGGCAGTTAATGAACCTTAGACAAATCACTATTCTGTGCTCCATGTTAAGTGTGTTTTGCTATGGGTAGTTGCTCGAGATGTATCTGGGTTCCATGCTATCAATAGCTATTACGCTTTAACCAATCACAGTTTAGTTAGCATTGTATTTTTGTCACATGACTGCAACCTGCCATTTTCTAAGTGAAGCACGTGGTTTTAACATTGTTGTGTATCAGCGCTAGTGAAATAGTTTTGTTTTAAAAATGTCGAAGAAAGGACAATGAAGCCAGCGAACTACAAGTCACCAGTTTGAGATTCTCATTAATTTTATGGAAGAAACCCTAAATTAATGTCAGGGAAGTTAGATGCTTCCTTTACGTAAAAGATCGCCAGAAATTGTGGCAAGAAATAGCAGACCGTCTGAATTCCAATGGAGTCGGCTCACAGAAAGATGGCATAAAGTAACCAATAGCTTTGAATATAAATATATGACTATCATTTTAATTTATACATATGCGAATGAAACCTATTTCAGAAGTAATGTTCATGCTATAGCTACTTAATTTAAATTTTAAAAAGAAAGCAATTACATTATTCATACAATATTCATAAATAGTTAAGGTTATTATTTTTAAGCAATACAACATAGTTTATTAACTCTCTCCAATTGCTCGTGAAGTAAAATCATTCTTACATCAAAAGACTTTCGTTACGTTCCTAACGGCAGCTCGAGAGTGATCAATAACAAAAGCTTAGTTATCGCACGTGGCTATTGGAACCGAAAACGAAACATATGGCTTGGAATAGCATTTTCACAGTTGATTAAACGTGAATCACGTGATTCCGATACAAACTGGTTTTTATTGTATTTGTTAGCTTAACAGCACTACTCAGAATAGGTCCCCGGGTCTTTTACATGAATAGGAAGTTTTGCCCAGAGGCTGGTGTATGTGAAGTGAACCATGAAATTCAAATACAATAGGCTAAAGAGGAAATTAGAATGGTCAGTGTTATTTGAGCAAAATGTGCAGGACTGAATGTATGACCATTGCTGTTTATACCATATCAGACTTATCTCTGGAATTTCTTTTAGTGTAAAATTGTTTTTGGTTGGATTACACTGCTTTGGATTTTGTTTCTTACGTCATTGTTTAATAAAATGAATTTTGAATAGTTAGTCTTTGGTTTTCCTAAAAAGTCCCTGGATATATAAGTAACTACATCAGTAGTTGATAATTTACTAGTTATTGCCATTTAGAAATGAAAAATTTTAAAATAATCTAGTTAAACATGAAAACTGTTCAGTTGTACTGCCATGGAATTGAATTAAAAACATGTAGTGTAAAAATTATTCCAAAGGAGAGCCACTGTGGCTTATAACAAGATCTAATTCAAAAATAAATCAGCTGGTGAAATATTATTGTAGAAAATAACTTGATCAAATTTGTAGAGTTCAGAAGAAAAACTTTTAAGTAAAGGTTCTATTGGTAATTAATGATATTACATATGTTACATATTAGTTGTTAATTATATTTAAATAATGTATTTGATACATAAGGCACAACTTTTATCCAAAAACAAAGCTCAAAAAATCCAGCAACAAATTGCTTAACTTTCCTGGAAACAACATTTAAAATTGCATGTGGTGCCATTTGTTATATTTTATTTAAGAAACTTATATTTTTAATTATCATAAAATGGCAAAAAGCTTAATTTTGAGGGTAGAAATGAGTTTTATAAAAATTTGTAAATGTTAATGACAACTAAAATCTTCATTAAGTCCGATCCTCCTATCTCCCCAGCTCTTTGACCTTTAACCACAAAAATTTAATAGCATCAATCCTATTAATATATAAACTTCTCTGCAATTATAATAAATTCTTATTTTTTGTTATGGGATTTGTTATAATAGACCATTATTTTTTTCATATAATTGTCATTAGGGATGTTTTATCTAACTCACTTTTTTAACTGTATTAGTTTTAAATGGAAATTATATGCTTAAAAATGGAAAAAAAAAATGTATTAGGATATCATCATTGCATTAATTCTGTTGATTTAGTTTATAGATGCAGAATCTGAAATCTGTGTTCTAATAACTGGTAAATCATTTCAAGGTTCTCCTTCTTTATCAATATTAACTAAAATTTAATTAATCTATAAATATAATTTTGTAGCAGCATGCAGGATATAAAACGAATATATTAATTAGTTCTCTTGTTCAAAAAAATCCAATTACAAAGCTTATCTGCAAATTAAACAGATAAGTAAAGTAGTAACAATAATAAACTAAAATTAATTTATTTCAATGATTAATTGTTAAATTTCTTTTTTTAGGAAGCAAGTGAGGCTTATCTTGTAGGATTGTTTGAAGATACAAATTTATGTGCTATTCATGCTAAACGTGTTACCATTATGCCCAAAGATATCCAGTTGGCAAGACGAATCCGTGGAGAACGTGCTTAATGTGTATATTGCCCGGCATATTTCTGTATGAGCACTCACCACCTCCATCACCAATTTACAATCAACATGATCATCAGAACTGCATCTTAGTAATGTTTTATATACTGGAATCAGTTTTGTAGAATTCAAAACTTTTGTATATCACAGATTTATAACTTATTTACAGCTCACACAGATAATTACTGGGATCAAGATTTTTTGCACTTCTCTTGTCTAGTAGCTTGTGACACTCTTCCACTCCCTTTCTTGTTCATATGACTTTTACATGATTTCATTGTGGTGTGACGTGTTACATGTTTTTCTTGTTGATCATTTTTGTGTATTCCTTACCTATTCAGTGTAATAAGTGATATTGCCCTATATTGGTAAGGACAATCAGTATATATATATAAATTTATATGTATATGTATATATATTATATATATATAATGATTTAGAAACTAAAGCTAGTATTGTATGTAGTTTAAAAATAACCAGGTTATTTTGAATATTTTCTTTTTGTAAAGTGAAATGTTGATAAAGAGGAATAAAACTTCACTGCCATGCTGGTGATAACATCACCAAAAACTGTTGGTTATGTAAAATAAAATTCAGATTTTTGCCAATAAGGCAATTACAGATCTCTACTATCAACTTTGAAATGACTCCTTTTATTTGTTACTATGTTCAATAATAAAGCTTTATATTCCAGAAATTTGAGTTTTATTTATTGTGTTTAAGTGCATTTTCTAGTTCTGAAGTATCTTTACCTAATTTCTTGTGTTCTTGAATAGCTGCTTTAATTAGTCCTTCTTCTAGACCTGGAACTTGTTTCCAAGCACTCTGACTTCCCAACATTTCATCAATATCATTTTCTTCTCTTAGAACACAGAAATAAATCAGGAAAGTTGACAAACAAATGGCTATTACAAAACCTTGACTTTTTGGTGTATCACTTTGAACACCTTCCAAACTATTTTTGGCTTTCCAGTTTGCTGCTTTACTAGAAGAAAATTTTATTGGTTGATCATCATCTGAAATTTTAGATGATATCCTTCTGAAATAAATATAATTGATTTGAATCAATCAAACAATACTTGAAAGTCATTTATATAATAATAAACGTCTCAAAAAGTATAATTAATTTTAATCATAACAAAAGTACTTATTACTAAATTTTTATAAAAGGAGGCTTTATAGCAAGTATTCTTTGAGCACTTATGTGATGTACAGATCAAATCAATAAAGTAGTATTTATTATTAAAAGCAAAACTTGTAGGTAAACTTTGAATATTTTTAAATCCCAGAACAGTTGACTTTCTTAAAACAGTAACATGGATAAAATAGTCAGCCATGGACATTTCAGTAAGAACATTGTCATATAAACCTTTTATATTCACATTTAAATTTATTGAGGAATAAAAATAGGCTTAAATCATACAACAATTTTTATTCTTAAAATTATTGCATTAATATAGTTAATTTTATTACTACCGTGATCAAAAAGTATCTGGAAATGGTTCATTTAAACTGCATGTGTACTGTTGACATTTAATATGACTTGTCAGCAATGTGTGTTGTCTGTTTTCATTTGCAAATAAATGCTTGTTTTGTGTGTAAAGAATTTTTATGCTGGCAATTTTTCAAAGTGTTGAGTGTAATTGAGCTATGAACTTGCATTAAGAATCTTGCATTTTATTGAACCATTCTTGATACTTTTGATCACGGGTATGAATGGTTTGTATCTCATTGAAGTTACCTTTTATCATTTAACAACATGTATTACAAAATGATTTTAAAGAAAGTTTTAATGATATAAAACAAAAACTCTACAGGACCTTTCTATTCTCTCCTTTGCTGTAATGTTCTATATCATCTCAGCAACATCCAAATTGGCATAGTGAAGGTTAAAAGAAACTACATTTGTGCATTCATGAACCAAATGCATAAAATTTTCTTAAAATTCACAGTAATGCTTGCTTCAATTAACTAAAAATGAATACAGTAGAATTCTAATTCTTTTCCTATGAAGAATTAAATCAGATACCACAGGGGTGGCCAACTTTTGTGTACATAAGATCTACTTTTTATCTTAAAAATGTGTTGCAATCGACTTGTTGTTGTAGGCATAGTCTAAGTGGCAAGGGGAGGTGTGAAATACATACTAAGAAAAGCCACAATTTAATTTAAAACATGAAGAAAAGGTACATTTTAAACAGAAGAAAAATTGAAACTCAATGTTGTCACTTTTGGGGACCACCACTTCACCCTTCCTCTTTCTACTGTGTCCCGACCTACTCTCTCTGTCCCTCTTCCTGCCTTTCTTTTTTTTTTGGTTTTATGACCGTTTCTCTACATTTCTTATTTCCCTTTTACAACTGTACACAAATGGATTGGATATGGACTGACAAAACCACATCCGAGGGAGGACACAGAGGTCCAATATCACTACAGTGGTGTTTGGTTACAAGTGTAACACATTAAGTCCGAGCGATCAACCAAAATTGGCTTTGCGATCGACTTGTTGGCCATCCCTGATATACCAAGCATTATCATCAAGTTAGGATAACCTATCCTAAGTTCTAAACAATGTAAATTTATTTCTCATTAAATACAAGCTAGACAAAAACATGGTACTATCTTATTTAACTAATATTTAGAAGCAAGTGCAAAAGATTATAGGTTATTGGTAATGGCTATTCAAATGGTGTAGTTGCATGCACCCAATCCCCTTTATTGTGGAGTGAAATCCTGTCTAGCATAGTTTATTCCTCTGAAGGGTTACAATTTGAAAATTACTGTTACTAAAAAAAAGTTGATTTCAAAACCAACCATTATCAATGGCCTGATTATGAGTATGCCTTGTCTTGTATATCTGTAAGAGGTCATCATATTCCATTATAAACTTTAAAAAAAGTATCAAACCTAAAATTTCAGAGATTTGAACATATTGCCTTCCATATGATAATTGAAAACATTTGTCTGTTTTAATTAAATAGTTACTACCTTTGTCATTGTGAATCTTTATATGCCAAAAGTTTCTACTTCCTGTTAGGCAATTTAATGTTATTAAAATGTATTTTGGATACCAATGTGTTACATAGTGTGAAATACACACAGAATTAAAGCATTACTCAATTTGTATCCTTAGCTTTCAGTTGATTGTTCATTTGTACAAACCAAACCTAAAAAGTTAGTATCAACTTTAAACCCAGAAACCAGTAAGTAATGAAAGAGAAACATTAATTAATATGTATTTATATAAAAAAACAAAAAAATAAATTGAGAAAATAGCCTAATTTATAATAAACCTGTCTAAAAGACTATGTCTTACATACCTAACCAATTTGTAACTTAACATAACCGATATAACCTTTTCTTTCTATAGTAAATATTTTAAGTAAACTTTATCAAATTCTTTTCTACAAAAATGCCAATGCATAATTACTGTATTCTAAATTACATAAATTAATTTTAAAAAGTTGTTAAAATGTCAAATACTGTAATTATATTAAGATGATTTGCTTTCCCTGCTGAAAAATTAAAATGTAGAATATAAAAAGCAACATATTTAATGTTCTCAGTAAACATATAAATTGTTCAAATTTTAAAAGTTATATAAATGTTCTCTTTTGTTGGTTAGGAATTAGCATCTCTGTAAAATCTATTATAGTTTTCCTCAAACAATAGATCATTAAAAAACACTCTTTTAGTAGCCTACAGTATAAGTTTAATCTGGTGCCTACAAGACCAGAGTGGACTTTATTTTTGCAAATTTGATAAGTTATGTGATCTGAACATTGCAGACACAGCATATTCTGGCAAAAAATGTTCAGCAGCCATATGCTTTGGATTTGTTTACACAAGCTCTTTAATCAATCAGATGATACATTGCATGATTGTAAAGCGTATAAAGCAAAACCTTCGATTCATTCTATTTTCAATTCCCGAAAGATTGGTAAGAGTAAAGTATCGGACACGTATACATACGATTCACAAAAGCTATATGTGCCTAAATGTGAAAACTTGTTTTTAGATGCACTTCATCCCTGCAATGGCCTATGGGAAAGAAAATACATCATGCATGTATGTGTGCACTAGTTCTAACAAAGCAAGTTTTATTTAGAAGAATACAATGTAGACTATGTATAGTTTACCAAATTAAGTTCCTCAGAAGTTTGAGGTCCTCCTAACTAAGTTATTCTAGAGATGATGGAATTGTTTCATCCAACACCCTCTCATTATTATCGGATTAATGAATTTTTACCATAGTATAATTTAGCAGCTAATAAACTGTAATATAATCAATAGAATTATAACCAAATATGTAGAAGTTTATTGGATAAAGAATTCACTTTCAAATTTAATGACAAAATTTATTAAAAGTAAATAAGCAAATTTGATAAATTTATATATATATATATATTTTGTTTTATTAAAAGAAATGAATGAAGTAAGATTAAAAGCCAAATTATTAGCAATGTAAAAGAAATCTTAATGCATTTCTTAAAGTTGGTACAAATGTATGTGTTGATGATATGAAAATGTATTTTCCATCTTGCAGTTTAAAAAAAAAAAAAAACATTTTATTTCCAGAGTTTCATATCATGTAATTGGAATATAGTTTTGAAAAGAAACATTTAACTAATTATTATTTCTTATAAACATCACTAATGAATCAATAACCAATTCTTTCTGAACAATGGAAATACTAATGAATATGTATTTTCTTAGCATAAGGTTGCTGTTGAGAACAAATCACACAGGAACACTTTTAGTGGAAAAAGGCCGGTTTACTGATAGAAAAGGATATGCATTTCATTATGTGCTAGAATAAAAAAGGGGTAACTTAAATATAAAATTAAGTAATCAATTAAGAGACGAAATTTTATAAAAAGGAAATACCTGTAGGGTGTGAAATAATTCCAGTGAAATGTACAAAAAACAGACCAGATAGGAGAGGTTAAAAAGATGTAGTATTTCCTGTATCATTCTCTGAATGTTTGGTGTGTTGAACTACACAGTGGAATACGATGGAGGGAGGTAGTACTGTACATCTTAATTAATGGCTTTGCTACTTAGGAATGGTTGCCAGATGTCACTGATGACAGCACCAGTATTTAAATTCATTCTGTGTATTTCATTTGTTTTGATAATTTCTGTTCAAAATATTTTCTTTTAATAATATTTTTTTCGTTTTTAAGAATCTTGACACTGTTGAGTGAGATCTCGCAGCCAGCTTGGTTGCAATGAGTGGCGACTGCTGAGTTGGTGTAATCATAATTCACCATTCTTATATGCTCTTTTATACAGGTTTTTAATGCTCTGCTAGTTTCACCTATGTAATAGTACTTTGAATAACATGTACAAGTAAAGCTGTAAACAAGATTATTTAAAAAACATCATTATTATTATTAAGAAATTTTTGATTTTATTGTTTAGTGTGGGTGTTAAAATTATATTATATGGTATTAGTATTCTTTGGATGTTCTCAAAAATAGTAGGGGTATAATCTAAGTTTTTGTAAATTATTTGTATCTTTGGTTTGGGTTGACCTGACGAGTGGTTGTGTAGCCATTTATTGATAATTCTGTTTGGGTAGTTATTTAATTGAAAGGTACGATAAATTTGATCTATTTCTATGTTTTGGTTTATAGTAGCACTTGTACATGTTTTGATTTTGTTGACATACATATTGAATATGTTCTTTTTAATATACATGGGTGTGCTGGAGTAGTAATTGATTACTTTACTGACGTCACAGAGTTTTGTATATTTTTTAAAGGTTATGAAATTATCATGTCTTAGTATAGTGATGTCTAAAAAATTAAGTTTGCTGTTATTTTCATTTTCTATTTTGAAGCATATATTATTCTGGATATTGTTGACGTACTGAAGTATGATTTGAGGGTTGGTTAATTGTTTGTTATACACAACAAAGCAGCAATGGTTGTAGAACATTATACCCTGTAGTTTTTGAATAATATTGTCGATATTAATCATGCACAGTTCAGTGAATTTTGGACCGATGCAAGACCACATAAAGATACCATCTAATTGTCTAAAGAAACCTTTATTACAAATAAAATAATTATTAACTAAAACAAATTCGACAAGTTGGGTTATCCATTTGTCACAGTTTAAACTATTTAATGTATTTATTAAAAACCTTTTTTGGATGAAAGGGTACATGTTTTTTATATCCAGGCTCAACATTCTCATATCTTTATTTATGTTGAGATTTTGGAGGTTTTTTTATGAACTGGCCAGAATTTTTAATGCTATTAATTGGATTATCAAATATATTTAGTTTATTTTTAAGGAATTTCTCTAAGTTGTAAAGAACATAAAATTTAATGTCAACCAGTGGGCAGCAAGATTCATTTAATTTATGGGTTTTTACTCTGATGTTGAGTCTGGGTATTTCTCCAGTTGTAATCAAGATTATTATTAATAAGATATCGAGTTATCTCGTCAATGGGAATGAAGGGGTTTAACATCGTTTGCATTAATATAATTAGATTCTTTAAGTTTTTTTAATCATTTTTATTAAACTTTCATGTATGCTTAAAGTAGGGTCTTCGGTTAAAGTGTGATATTGAGAGGAAGGGACTAAATTAAGTTTAACTTTATCATATTTTTCTTTTTCCATTATAACTATTTATTTGGATTTATCGGCAGGGACTATAGCTAAATTGTTATCAGTTAAAAATTTTTTAACTTGTATGAGTTTGTTATAAAATTTAATTTGTTTGATTTTTATGATTACTAGTATGTTTATAATGATCTAAAATGTGTTTAAAATTGGCCCTGACATTAGTTTCTATTTTAGTTAGTATGTCCTCTAAATTTACTATGAAATTTTTATAATTAATTTTTGTTGGGCCATTAAAGTTTAAATCTTTGATTAAATATTTAACAAAATTAGGTATTGTGCAAGTACTTTGGTTTACTACTAACATCTGTTTCCAACAATGGCAACCTTATGCTAAGAAAATACATATAGTAAAGAAAACAGCAAGCAACCAAGAACTAATGAATATGCTTTTGTCTGACATTAAAGAATTACTACTGATTCTTACATTAACTTCTATTATTTAATTAGTTATAGAGTATCAATAATAATATTTTTAATACACAAAAAATCATAATCAGCTGCACATAAAACATATTTAAATCTTATAAAATTTTAAACAAATTGTTGAACTAAGAACCAAGTATTTATCTTGGTATTAAAATCACTTTAACATTACACTATTCAGAACCTGTGACCGGTGCTCGATGCGTATATGTTGTATATCACTGTCGACAAACATTTTCGAGCGATCCCTTCGCTCTTCTTCGGGTCGACTGAAAGTCAACAGCGATATACAACATATACGCGCCGAGCACTGGTCACAGGTTCCGGATAGCGTAACGTTGATTTCACCCCGGTGCTGAGAGTAGAACAGTTCCTATTTTTAAAATCACTTTATCAAAAATAAATCATTATGGAATATTCACCTCTAGAGAACTAAAAGATTTTGTTCTGTTAGTTATCAATATGTTAAATATGACAATTTAACTCTATTATTTCAATTAATAATGCTTATTATTCAATTTACTTTCAATATAAATATTTTATTACTGTATATTCTTGTAAGATAGGAGAGAATANACCAAAAAAAAATTTATCTTTAAGATATCTCACCTTAAAAAATAAAGATTTGTCGAAATTCTGAAACAATTATGGCAAATTTTCAAGAGGGCCGCCATTTTGATGCCGAATTTTCCCGCCAAATATTTTCGATTTAATATAAGTTTTGAGAATATCGTAACATACAATTACTTGTTAAAATATTTAACAACTAATAATAAACGTAATGTTATATAATTAGAGAAAGAATACGATTTGGCGAATTTCTGAATAATAATAAATATTTTGCTTAAAACAAAATGGCGACTTTGTTTAGGTATACTCGATTGACGACGTATTATGGAGAAAATACGTAATTTAAATTGTTTAACGATGGAAAAAGCAAACGATAACTCAAAAAAACTAACAGGTGAGTTCTATTACTAGTAAAATATCTTATTTTTTTTTAATATTTTGTAATTAAATATCTCATCGATCGAGTGCACGATGCATAGTAGAGACTGGTCACAGTCTATAAGCATAAGATTTTGATAATTCAATGGGTCTTCCAGTTAGAGAATATCTCGATGATAGGTTCGATGGATGTATATTCGGTACAATTGAAAATGTGAAAGACACTGTTGGGACCTTAACAGAACAAAAGTCGGTTAGACTGAAGCAAAAGGTAATGGTACCGTATCTCCACGGGTGAAACTTTGCTAGATACGCCCCCTCAAAATCGGCCGCAAGCGATTGGGATTCGAACTGCATGCTATGTGCTCTACCGAGACTACTGCATTTAATTATTTAGCCTGTGCAATTATTCCAGCATTCGGTAGCCTATTTGACTGTTCGTGGAGTACATCATGTTATATAGTTTTAGGGTAGTGGGATTTTGCTCTGGTACAATTACATGTCCGTTCAAGATGACTGGGACTTTACCGGAGCTGTAGACCGTACTCAAAGGAGTAAAAAAAATCAAAGGAACCACACTTCTATCTACGTGTGATCTTTTGCAAGATATCGCATTCTGAATTCAGCCTATTTCCGGGATGCACGTATTGAATATTTAAAAGTAACTTATTATTATGGACTGTTGACTGTTGTAATGATTCTTAACCGTAAAGATGAAAGAAAATATCTAGATCGGCGATGTCCAGCCTGCGGGCCGCATGCGGCCCACTCAATGTTTTTGTGCGGCTCTTTTAAAATAGTAATTATCTTGTATAAATTTTTATTACAATGAAATATCACATGTATAGTTAAATACATTACTATGAGGTATAACACCTTATCACATACGATTAGAAATTACAACAGTATTAAATATTTTTTAACAAAGTTTCAAATGTATTACATATATATGTAGATACAGTACATACTGTATATATATATATATATATATATACAGTAGAGCCTCGAAAACTCGGCCTAATGTGGACCGAAAGGTGGCCGAGTTTGTGAAAATGTCGGGTTATCGGGAATGGGGTTAAAAAAAATAAGTATGAGTGTTTCCTCAGAAAATAGTGTACTGTACTTGTATGTATTGTTTACTTGAGAATGCAACAGAGAATAAACTGCCCAAATACCCTTAAACAAAGGAAAAGTACGTCTTTTATGAAGGCATAGAGCCTTTACTACATGAAAATAAAAATTAATGAATACACTGTACAGTAATTTACCTGATAAGACAGACCTCAGAAAAATACTTTATGAGGCATAAAGCTGTCTTTATCATGAAAATTAATTAACTAAGGATTTTTTTGCCCTGCCAGGGTGTGGCCTAGTTATCCGGAGTGCCCGGTTATCGAGTGCCGAGTTTTCGAGGCTCTACTGTATATATATATTTAATCAGTATGTTTACAACAACAAATATTTCTAAATTGGTGTTTTGGTATAATGAAATTATTTTTCCTTAAATTTGCCATACATATGTAATAAATGTGAAACAATAAGAACAATCCACAAAACCTTTTTATAACAGTGTTGTGTTCGTAACAATTTTCACTAACATTTTCGACCTCCACCGAGGTCTTCTTCAGGTAATCAGACAGGCATTTCGTATTGATCACATCCGTCACCTGGAGGTCTGGGAGATTTATAAAGCCAACATTGGGGGCACCTCCATCAACTTTGAAGACAGAGAGACAATCAAGCAGGCGTGGAGATACTTATTCGAAGAATTTGAACTGGGACAAGCGGAGGGGTGAAATGTGATACACGCATTATTTACATCTCGGGTGTCATCATTCCAACGGTTAAGAGGAGACACTGTTTACTCACACCTGAAGAAAACCTCAGTGGAGGTAGAAAACGTTAATGAAGATTGTTACGAACACAACACTGTTATAAAAAGGTTTTGTGGATTGTTATTACTCAATGGAGTGTTAAGATTAGAAGTTGTTTTGTGTTAGAAACAATAAGAAATTTCATTGTTTTTTTTAAATTCTTTGGAAATAAGCCTAATAAAATTTTAATTAGAATTACATGTTTACACATGCATACAGATTTAAAATTTCAAATCATTCCGTATTTAGATTGTTAACAGGTTTAATTATGTTTTACTGTGCAAGTTATTTGATTATTCGCATTTTTCACTGAATGCTCGCCCTCTGATGTTTAAAAACAAAACTATTCTATTGGATTGTTTGATTCATTCTTGTGTATTATCAGAAGTAAAGATGAAAAGCGATAGAAAAAGCAACGCGTACTGTTGGTTCCAAATTGCAATTTCAAAGCCTTACGAGAGCCTGATGTAAGTTTTCGTCTATTCCCACACGAAAAATAGGAAAAACAGATGATTATTTGGAAATTGATCGGTTATATTTATGAGCTCTGAATTCTGAAAGAGTGGATTAGACTGTTAAGAATTGGCAGTTTCCCGATTGTCCAGCTTTACACGAACAAGTTATGCTGTCAATTTTAAAACATTTTGTTAAAGTTTAAAATGACAATAATTTTGTGTAGGACACAGGGCCGGAATTAAGCATTTCAAAGCTCTAAGCTGAACTCTGTAAGGCCCTTTTGATCTTAAGGCCCCTTACCAACCTTTTTTATGATTGACAATTTTAGAAGTCAATCATAAAAAGAAAAGAATTAAATCAGACTATGTCTCTGATTTAATACGGATATTGGAAGAAAAAGACGTGAGGTTTCACTAGTCTTCTGTTTTATAACTAAATTTAATTAAATTTTTATACCCATTCCATTGTGGGAGAAATCCTTGATTTTATGTTAATTCTTTTCCAAAAAAAATTAATGAAATACTATACAAAATAAACAGTAAAGTATATTTTGTTGGTTTGTAAAAAAATGTTTATTACAAAATCTGACTTCAATTTTCTTTTTTGTACAAATGTTTGAGGTCACTTGAAAGTCAAGGCTTTTTACTTGTAAATCTGGCCCTGATGGGACAATGTCAAAAAAAAAAGCTGATGTTTTTTTAACACAAAGGGTACAAATATGTATAGAATGATCTCACTAATTTTTTTCGACACTACATAATGACATGTCCCGCTAACAATAATTGTTCTCCTTCTATAAAATTTCTCAATAAACAGCTACAGGCAGCATATATCATTATATCAGACAGTAATATATGATTAATTTTACATTACTAGTTACAAGTGACCCAGATAAAGTAACCATTTTGTAAAAATGTGGCGCTCTCTATAGTTCATGAAAAACGCAAATAGTCAGCCACCAAGGGGTGCTTCATGTAATGGTTATGTTTTGTAAGTCATTTCAAAATCAGATGACCGTTAGTTACTGGTTTTCTTGTCTTTGACCTGGCAGCAATTTTTAATAAAGTTTTATTTTAATTAAGTCGGGAAAATGCCTAAAAAATTTTGGAAATTGAGAGAAGAAATTTAAATTTTTATGAATGAAAAGGACCAGAATGTTTGTAAATTATATGATGGACAGTGGTTTTTGGATTTATGTTTCCTTCCAAATATCAGAATGAAATTAAACATACTTAATAAGCAGCTTCAAGGTGAAAACAAATTGATCACAGACTGTTATCAAAGTATAAAAGCATTCATAGCAAAATTCAAACTTTATGAAAGTCAGTTAAAATCAAAAACTATAATTCATTGTCCAAAATTCATCTAATCTTAAAATGATGGAATGCAAAGTTACTAATCTTGGATTTAAAATAGTTGTTAATTCTCTGATTTGTGTAATTATCTGTTGGTGAAATGAGTCTAAAGGTTTTTCCAGAAAATAAATTTTTTTGTAATTCTGCCTTGTGAGCACTGAGAAAGCCTTTTTTGGCAAGCTCATTATGGGTTCAGTCAAACCCACAGTGGGGCAGCTGAGTGGTGAAGGACAGGACCCAACATGTATAGATGGACCATCCTCCAAAAATTCCTTGGATTTTTGTCCATGTGGATTCATTCCCAGATCCCCAGAGCTGTAGACTTTCACCTTAACCATTCAGCCATCTGGCCATCCCAGAAAATCACTTAAGACTTGACTGAAGTGGCTTCATACTTTTGAGAATTTTTAAAAGACTTGAGACTTGTAACTTATGACTTTAAATGAAGATTGCCAATAATACTATTGCTTTAGCAGTTCTTTAGCAGTTATAGAAAGCCACATATTCTACTGAAGTGACACTGTTACAATCCACATCATAAAGTTTAATATATTATTATTTTTTAGAATTTTTTAATCAATAATGTTAGATAATAATTGTTAGATAACAAAAAAGTTATAAAAAAAACTGACTCCATCATTTTTTATCTTAAAATTGTTTGTATTGTATTCTCGAGTATATTAAAGTACAAACAATTTTAAAATATTAGATAAAACAAAAATATCAATTTTGTTGTAGTATTAAACTCATATTGCAGTATTCTTAATTATTTTGACCGGATATTTTTTCTTAATCATTAAGAAGAAAAGATAAACATTCTAATTCTAAACTGTATTGTATGAATTATTGTAGCATTCTAAAATTTAACAGAACTCTTAACATTTAATATAAAGAAATTTTAAAATGGCTTCTTCTAACTTAAGTAAATAATAGGCTATAATTAATCTTCCATTAGTACAAATTCAAATTACACAATCTAATTTCTTGAAAAATTAGAGCAGGGGGTCTCAAACTGACAACCCGCAGGCATGATACGGCCCATTGAGGCTTCATATCCAGTCTGTGGCCTTTGTTGATTTTTAGAAAAGAAATCATCATCACAAACAAAACCTTTTTTAACCAGTAATTGAACTTGGAGAAGGCCGAAAGTGTAACTTCTGAATGTTTTCGGCCTTCACCAAGGCCTGCTTCAGGTAATGAACTAAACTGACTTCTAAGTTGGATCATTAGAAGAATGATGTTTGACTTCAATATTTCTTACATTTTACAGGGAATAAAACGGAAAAAATTCAAATGTCTAACTGTTTACATAAGTCATAAAGGCCTAGCAACAAAAGAGTCTTTGTTAGAGCCTTTTTTTATATTACAGTATATTTTGGTTTACTGAATAATATTGAATATGATGTCTGATATACATCTATTTGACTGGCCCTTTGTTGTGTTTGAGTGCGAGACCTCTGAATTAGAGTAATAGCATATAATTTAGAACTAAGAAAATGTTTTTCTCTTATCTCATCAATGTGTTTCTTTTTAACATTTCTGTTTGTGTAATAAAAAATTAAATGTAAATTAATAATGTTTTAATTAATATTATTTAGAATATTCCAACTCTTCTGTTGTATCCTTCTCTGAAGATGTGGCTAATGAACAGCTTTCACAAAGGAAACGCAATACGCCATCTCGATATTGGTAAATAATATTTCTTCTCTATGAATTTTCTAAGAAACAATATGAATATTTAACATTAAAAATGAATTTATGAATTAACAACAGCACTTAGTTATGTTCTTAGAAAGAATTGAAAAACAATTTGTAAATTTAGATATGCAAGAAAGTCGTCATTGATATAATTTATTGTTGAGTAAAAGAGTGGAATAAATGCCACCATATTACTACATCATTCCAATTTTAGCAAAAATTTTATTGATACTGGTAGTAAGATGTGGGTTTGTAAGAAAGTTGGTAAAGTAGATCTGTAGCTCTGAGGCTCAAGCCAGAATCAGTATAATAAAATCCTAGAAAATTGATTTAGATCATTTTCAGTTCATAAAAGGTGAAAAAAGAAGTGAATAAACTGAGTATATCATGGAGAAGGAAACAATGCCTAGCTCCATGGCCATGATTACATTTTGATTTCTAGACAAATAATGGAATTAATTATAAAAATAATATGTCTACATGTATTTATTTTTCTTATTTAATTACATTTTATCAATAAACTACTTATCATTTCTGTGGAATGTTTATACTTTAATAATTGTGACTTGAAGAAATACGTCATTTGAATAGTAAAACTATGATATTTAGCATATAATGGTATTTTAGAAAGCTGAAACTGGTACTAATGTCTTAATGGATTTGATGATTAATACTATTATGATTCACCAGAATATTTTTTTATCAATTTTTTAAAATATAAATAGAGTATACAGTCAGAATATGTCATATTTCATAAATACAAAAATAATGTTTTTAATTAAGTTTTTAGTATTCAAGGATACTTGAAGCTGGTGATGAATATTAAGTTTTTTTTTTTACTTACTATATTCAACATCAAAACAAAATATTTTCAGGTGAAAATAAAGATTATTTACTCACATATAAGACAAGGTTTTTATTCATTTTTCATTCCTTCAAAAACCTAGGTCATCCTATACACACCGAGCAAAAGGATTCTTTGCATTTTTTTAATAATTTTTGTGAACCGTGTATAGTTCATGTTGCCATTATAGCATGGTGCTATCAAGATCAAGATGAATGTTGCTTTCAAAGAGATGGTCTGAAAACAGCTGGTCACTTAGCGATGATTATAAATGTAGTTATTTCATATTTGTTAAATTGGTATTTTTAGTGAATATTTGAACATTCTGAATCATTAAAAATAAACTTTTTCCGGTCATGCGCATTATAATCTTTTGGTTTTGCTATGTGAGTATCAGATGCATGGAAAAGCATTCCTCAAGAGGTGATAGCAAAGTCATTCAGAAAATACTGCATTTCAAATTTACTCAACAGATGATCAGAGGACAATGCTTTGTGGAGTGAGACTGAAAAAGAGGAGAGTTCTAATGAAGCTTTGGAGGGCGAATCCGAGTAAACAAAAGGTGATGGCATCAAGAAAATGTGGATGTTTGCCTTAATAAGTGCATTTGATGATATTTTATTTGTGATTAAATGAAATAAAATTAGAATTGTATTAATAAATCTAATTTTTTTTAATTTTGATCTTTAAAGTCACACCTTGTCCTTATATGGAGTAAATATGGTATTTTGTTTTGACTTTTGACTAAGATTTCCTCTCTTTGCTAATTAGAACTACACCAGTATAATAAGTTTTATTAATAAACAAGGTCCAAATAGACAGTGTAGAAACAAAAAAAGTAAAATAGAGGTAAAAAGAATTAATTATTGTGATGTTTTGTATAAGCTCTGTATAGAGTAACTGCACTTATAAGTTTTTATATATAATACGATATTTTAACTTATTAACATTTTTATCTAGTATAATTAAATGATTAATTATCCTTTAAGAAATGAAAGAATCTGAAGAAAATGCTGCAACTTAACTTTTTAATTTAACAAAGAGGAATGAAATTATCTAACCATATAGATGAATATAAATGAAATAGACATTTGGTTTATATCATTAGTAGAAAGAGAATATGATGATGTTTTTTAGACTCATTAAATAATTAGGAAATGATAGTGAGAGGATTTTGCATATACTTTTGAATGAACAAAGATCAGTTCAGTATTTTATATTATATATAAAGTCTTCTACTAAATGAAATATGAAATTTCATAAAATAATTTTATTAAGTGAAACACAAAAGTAATAAGTCTGTGTACTTCACATTGTTCCACATTACATTCATATTACTTAGAATCTAAGTCTGGATTTTGCACACATGGCTGTGGTAAAAGGATATAGTTTACCATGGCTGTGGAATATATATGTTTTTTAACTCTGTAAAAATTTTAAAATGCCAATTAGATCTATTACTATGACTTACTATCTTTTATCTATTGCATAAGTGTAATATAGTATCTAATTGTTTAAGTGAAATATCATCTTAACAGTAGTTGGAAACTTAAATTTCATATCCTGTATTACTTTGAACATCTTTCAGAGTAATAAAAAAACAGATTCTTTTATATTCAGAATCATTTTTTCTATCTCCAAATGAAAATAAATAATAGAAAACATTTCTTCAGCCATAACAAATAACCAAAGAGATTTATAGAAAGATTTCTTTCAGGGATTATCAGTCCTGGTCTTCCAGTAGTAATGATGAATGTAATTTGGATGATTTGTACAGTTCACTTAATGATTGTGATTCCACATTATCTCAAGATATTAGTGAGTATTTATAGTATTTATTATAAAAGTTTGCTGTAAACATGAAAGTATTACTAAAAGCCAACTAATGCCATATGTAAAATTATAATTATTAAATTTATTAAGAGATGGTTCCTAATGCCTCCCTATAGTATCAAATTGTTTCATAATTTATTAATATTATAGCTGTTATCTAGCCCGATGACATAAGGCATTGGTTGGCTTTTAGTAATATAATGTATCAGGTTTTAGTGGAGTTGTTTATTATGAAAGTATAATATAAATTTTTTGTTCTTTCTAAACAGATATAATGCTTTACTTTGTTGTTATTTTATGAAACATATGTAAAAAATTTTAAAAGTTTCAGTTAAAAAAGATGAAGAATCTGAAGATTTTAAATGCTCAATATGCAGCAAAACTTTTGCTTTGAAAGGAAGTTTAAAAGTATGTATAAATTAATTTTCAATTATAGTTTATACTTTTTATAATGTTAATAATTGTTATAAATTTTAGGCCCATTTCCACATACATAATGGAACTAAACGATTCATTTGTTCTATTTGTAATAAAGGATTTAAAAGTAAAGATGGAATGCTTCGCCATAAAATTACTCACTCAGGTTAGATTTTTATTTTAAAGTAAGCCCATATACTGTAAGCCAAAAATATTAAGAAAATGACATTATTGGATTTTCAGATATTATTGCTTGTAGATTTTTCTATATAATACAAATTCTTAAAATATTACTGATCATATATTAAATAATAATTTTTTATATTCTTTTATCATTTCCTACCTACAACAAGTTAAATTTATGTGTAAATAATTCTAAATATTATTATATAATCCAACTAAAGTGGGAGAAGAGAAATATAAGATGACAAGTTTCCAATACGGAGAAAGAATAAACTTTATTAAGATTGATAATCAACTTCATCACATCAGTTAACACCAATTGAAATGTAATAAACCATAATGAGCTTACATTCTCTCTCTCTCAATCTCTCAATGTATTTATTTAAAGGAACATGCATTATTTACACTTTATTGATATTTATTTTAACTTTTATATTGATTTAACCCTTTGCCACTGCCATCTTGTTTACGTTAATTTTGTAAACTGTCGGAAGGCAATATAGAACAGTCAGATAATATTATTTTAAAAATTCACAATAAATCAAATTATCATTATATTCACATGAAAAAAATTATGTACATTTATTAATATCTTTAGTTTTAAATAGGATATTTTTCCATACATTTTATTAGAAAAATTTATAAGAAAAAAAATAATATATATCAGAACTTACATTTAAACTTGATAATTCATAACTTTTTGTCAAAATTAACGTTGTTTAGTTACCTAGTTTTTTGCTGGCAATGAGCCAGATGTAGAATATTGTTCTGTACAACTCTATATAAGATTTATTCATGTATGTTTATTTGTTGTGAAAGTATCGCACATTATATCAAACATTTGTTTCAAATCAAAACTTTATTATGCTATCAACTAATATAATGAACTAGTATACTTTATTCACTTCATTTTGAACAAGAATATAAATTTTTTGTAATAAACATATGATTTACCAGTAGTAATATATTTAATCTAAAATATCAGCAAATATTACAATAAAAAATATACAAAATGTCAAGACTTGAAGGTCTTAACTTGGATATTTATATGTTGACTTATTATAGCTAAATGAACTTATTATAGTAATATTATTGCATGAATATGCTAAAAATGAAATAAAAAATTATCAGAAAAAAAAAGCATTAATTAAAATTTTTTAAGTTAACAAAACACCACCTGGAGAAAAATATGTAAAACAAACGAACGATAGACAAGACAGTGCCATCAAGAGCTGACATCTGTTGTCGATAAATTTTATAAAACTTGCTTTTTACTAGAATTACAACAAATAGGTACCCTCGAAATTTTGCTTAACAATGGGGATACCGATTGATCGGTACTTTCGGGGGCAAATGGTTAAATTATAATCTTTGTGTGAGGCTCCAGACAGAGTCTGAATCTATTGTTAATTGTGCTAACAAGACAGTTTAATATAAAAAAAGAAAATGAATAAAATAAACACACTATGAAACAATGCAAATCTAAACAATTAAATCCCAAGTGTCTTCCCCACTATCTGTCAAAGACTATCCAAGTTAAGACCATCAAACACTAGCAAAATATCCCTTTTGTAAACTATATCAAAAACAGTGTCCCTTTACCCTTGGGTTGGAAATGGGAGAAACTGACAAAATTTTAGTTACCAAATTCAGATTGGTTGGAGTATGGATGTTATGCATCATTGCCACCCAAATGGTACAGAGAAATGTCCCTCCATCATACTAAGTGGCATAAAGATTGAGTTATAACACATTGGAATGGCTGATTCCAATTATTACCTTATTGTTTTCATGAAATAATCAGTTAGAATAGACCCACATCCAACACGAGCAGTAATGGGACCCTTTATCCCACTTCATAGATTGTCGTCCAGAGCCCTGGGCAATGATAACTGACAGAAGATGGAACATGGGGAGAGATTTCCCAAATTGTCCAGGTGCTTTCTCTCTGTAACCCCAACCAGGAATTACAATTACATGACCCTCTAATTATGCAGGAACTAGGACTGCCAATTGGAGTTGATATCCCAACAATACCCCCTTGCTTTGATAGTGAGTGGAATTATAGATATTTCCTCACTCCTCTAGATGTCTCAGGTGCACTTTTTATTACATATCTTCCCTATATGCAATGGTTTAACCATGTACAATTTATTATTCAATTTTCTCTTCTACAAGGAATCAGTTGGCACATGTAGAAGAGAAAATTGAGTAATAAATTGTGTGTGGTTAAACCATTGGATATTTTGCTTGCTGTATGAAATACTATACCTGATATAAAGAATTATAGAGTTAAAACTAATAAGAATACAGCTACCATATAATTAAGGAAATATTCTCATAAAAAAATAATTTATCATATTTTCCTATAATTTACTTTCTGTTTATCTGTAAAATTTATACAGTGGTACCTCAGGATACGAATGCCTTAGCATACAAAATTTTCAGGATACGACATGAAATTCAAACATATTTTTGCTCCACGATACGAACAAAAACTCACCATAGAACGTTACATTAGTTCGCAGCCTCTATCCAGTGAAAGTGCTGGTGGAAGTGAAGGAAAGAAAGCAAAAAGCAGTGAATAAAAATTTTTAAAAAATATGTAAAACAACACTAATTTTTTTTTTAAAATCTTTTCTAAGTTATTTTTAAGTTTTAGTATCATTTGCCTTCTCCCCCTCCTCCGCCACCAGTTTACACCTCCACCGTCATCTATCCTCAAAGGTAAAGTGCAAATAAAACTACATTTTTTTTAAACCAATTATTATTCTATTATGGTTATTTATACATTTACAACTACAAAATGCATTTTTCAGTGTTTTCCTTATTATAGTTTTTTTTTTTTTTTTTAATGTACTACTTAGCTTTAATTTGAGTGTGTTTTTCGTGTTGGAACGAATTATTTGGTTTTACATGTAATCGTATGGGGAAAAATGATTCACGCTACGATCTCAGTTTCAGAATGGATTAATTTCGTATCCTGAGGTACCACTGTATTATAGACAATTTTGATCCATAAATAAGAATGTAAGAAATTGATTTAAAGATTTAAAGAAATTGAAGTCATTTTTTTCAATTGTGGTCAATAATAATAAAAATAATCTGTAATTGATCATAGGCCATGGAAAATTATCTTACAGGCTGCAAATGACCCACAGGGTGTAGTTTTCTCACCACTGATGTAGACTATTTTCAGAAATAATTTTGTAAAATAAACAAAGTTTATATGTTATCAATATACATGTTAAAGTACAAATCAGACTGTTAATTTATTTAAAAAATAAAATAATAGTAACATCAAATAAACAGAATTTTCCATTTAACATTAATTATAATTAAACTTAAAATTATCAAAAAATTTATTGATAATTTTTTTTCTGTATGGAGAAACTGGATTATGGATTTGTTTGCAATTTAAAACCTAAAATAATATTTTTACAAACAAGATTTAAAATATATACCCTAATTTTGTAATAAGTAATTTGTTTTTCTCCTTTTAATTTAATTTTAGGAGCAAAACCTTTCCCTTGTGACATTTGCAAGCAGAGTTTTTCAAGTTCCGTCTCTCTGAGAGAACACAAAGCAAGACATAGCAATCAAAAATTATACGAATGTAGTATTTGTTCAAAGAGCTTTCGTCAGAATAGTTGCTTTAGAAGACATTTAACAATACATTCTGGTGAGATGCCCTTTGAATGTAAATTGTGTAAAAGAAGATTTTCTCAAGCAGTTTATCTTCGTTCACATATGTTGAAACATACTGGTGAGCGACCACATTCTTGTCAAATATGTGGAAAATCATTTGCTCATAAATCCGATCTCAAAAGACATAAAATTCTTCATACGGGAGAACGACCATATAAATGCGAGATTTGCCACGCGTCGTTTGCCGACTGCTCCAGCAAACGTCGTCACGAAAGAGATCACGAGGGAACAAAATCATTTCTCTGCCAGTCGTGCGGTGAAACATTTAAACGTGCTGCCCAACTGAGAAGTCATTTTACGAGAAAGCATAATTCTGTCAGAGATAAAAAATGTAATACTAGTGCATCGGCATTTCCAACTACCGATAATTTTTCATTTGAAGCATCTCTAGAACCCGAAAACCAATTAATAAGTGAATCGGTAAAATCCGTTTCAAATATAATTTCACAACAAACTTTTATTCAAGATACCTCAGGAATTTCAACCGAACAGTGTAGGGATAAAATAACTGAAAATCCCAATACCACAACAGTATTAATTTCATCACCACCATCATCCATCACAAACTCAGATAAATCTGCAATTGATACCAATCCAACAACTGTTTTACAAATGTTTAGTTCTGTAGATGTGTCTAATATTCTATCAAATAATTTAAAATATGTTACAGAAGTATCCGACGGCACAAAATCCACAGGACAAGAAACACTTTTAGATACACCTAATCCCGATCATATAGATTATGTAATATATCCTGACTTCAACAGTCAAGATTACTATAATTGGTTATCTAGTTTTACTTCTGTCTGCAAACTTTTACTCTTACCAGTAGACACAGATATTTTTACTAAAATTAGTCAGGTTCACAAATCTATTACAGACGTTTTAGCATCTCCATCTGGCATTCTTTCTAATAAAGATAATTTTAAAATATTAATGAGTATTTCAAATGATTTGCATCAAGTTATTAATAGTCATCTCAATTATATTTTGGAGCAATTATGATATTTCTGTATCAAAAAAATTTTAATGTTGTTTTAGAAATTAAATTTAATCATACATAAAATTTTAAGAAAGTATGTTAGAAATTGTTGTACATGGTCAAACATTGTTGAAATTTGCTATAGTTTACTAAATATTTTACTAAAAGAAAATAATCTATTTTAAAACTCAATTTATTTTTATAAACCTATTTGACTGAATGTTGAGTAATGATTAATACATTTTTGTGAAAATAACCTCTCAGGTTAGTAGAAACATTTTAGATTTATGTTTAATCTATGTTAAAATAAATGATTTCTTAATCTGTCAAAGCTTCTCAATCATTACAATTACAGGTATACCTCGACTTACATCGTTTCGAGTTACGTCGTTCCCGATTATACGTCGTCTGTCAAAAATGTATACGAAACAATAAAAATCAAGTTTAAGTCATTTTATTCGACTTTATGTCTGTCCGCCACAAATATTGAAGTCGTAATATCACTAGAAAAGCGTTTAAAGCACATAAAATCATATTAAAATATACACATTTACAAGTATGTACTGTATTTACAGTACACTTCTCTTCCCACTATTCTATCTCACTTTGTTTCTTCTTCCATCTTTTCTTCCTATCCTAACTTCTTCTTTCGTTCTTCCAACAGGGCATAAGTCCGCCGCTATTTGTGGACAGCCCTCTAACCCCTTTCAACAACATGTATTTACAGTACAGTACATGCATTCGTAAATTTAGATTACTTTTTTCTGTACTCTATTAAAAACTAAAATTTATTTGTTTGTAAGCTTAAAATAGATTCTTATTAACCATATATTATTAAAAATGCATTAATAAATAAAATACAGAACTGGGAATAGTAATTTATAGTTTAGCCTAGTGACAAGTAGATTCGGAGACAAGTAAATTCAACTTACGTCGTTTTTCGACTTAAGTCGTTTTCCTGGAACCAATCACCGACGTAAGGCGAGGTATACCTATATTAACATTCTGATGATGAGAGATTAATCTTTTGAAAGTATGAAATATTAAAATAAGTCACTTCTTAAACGTAAGCCCAAAGTATTATCATCATCATAAAAATATGATGATAACACTTTTGGCCTATGTTTAAGAAGTGACTTATTTTAATTATGGTATCATATTTTTATTATAGTAGTTTAGGAATAAAAAAAAAAGCAAAATTGCAAAATAAATCAATAAAAATATAGCAATTTAGATGTTATATTCCTCTCTTAATTAACAGAAAGAATACAATTTTGTAATACATAATATATTACAAATATTTGTAAATATATGTTGTATGAAAATGAGTTTGTCATTTAAATTGTTGCTATTTTTAAATGTGAAATAAAATTTATAATATAATTTTTCTAGTAATATTTATCTGTTCTTTTTACTACCTTTATTATTCAATTTTTTAATAAATTTTAACCAAAGTATTTTTATTTTTACAGTTTTATTTGTTCTATCGCATGGTTTTAATAATTAGTTATTCCAGTTGTCACTACAATCATTTTTAGTTTTACCAATATACGTAATAAAATAATGACTGAAGAAGGGCATAAAGCCTGAAATGCATATCCGTTATAAATTATAGAAAATAAATATTTACTTTTTCTATCAAGAGAAGCGTTGATTTGTTCTCAATAGCAACTTTATGCCAAGTTTCAAAAACATACAACTAATTGAGAGAACAAGCAAGCAATCAAGTACTATGAATTTCAGAATTAATATTTGCATAATATGAAATTAATCTAATCGTAAGATCAAATTTTTTTTATAGTGAACAATTTCTTAACATTTCTATTTTGATAAGAAGCCTCCAGATATTATAGAAACAATAATTAAATTTTTTTTGTTTTATTATTAAAATAGTATGTCAGAATTTATGTTTATCATTTTTTTTCCCCAGCTGTTGTTTATACATAACAAGGGAAAGAAAGAGCATGTCAAATTCAATCCTCTAAGTTTTCTGCAAATCTCCACATTTTGAGACCTTCCCAAACAAAAAAAGTCAAAATAGCAAAAAAAATTCCATGGGTATATAATTGTGTGTTGGCATTTATTTTGCTTAATATCTCAGGATGGGGTGAAGATAAATGAAATTTGGCATGATAGCCTTGTATATAAGGGCATTGATGCTATTAAATTTTGGTTGCGATGGGATGGTAGAAGGTGGTCATGTGATATATCAGGTCAGTCCATAAGTTCATGGGTATTTTATGATCTTAAGAAAAATCTTGTTTTGCTGTTAAAAATGCCAGTCTAATGTGATACTTTTTACACTGAAGTGTTAAATTGGATCTCATTCATATAATACTGTTCAGAATTGGGAACATTTCGGTTGTTTAGTTTCGTTAAAATGGAAGTAACAGATGAATATAAGAGAGATGTTTTATACTTTTTATTTTTAAGTGATGAGAATGCTACAAATGCAGCCAAAAAATTAAATACTGTTCATAATCAAACTGTAATTCGTGTATGGACTGCGCAGAAGTGGTTTGAAAGATTTAGAAATAATGATTTTAGTGTGGAGGATAAGGCTGGTACTGGAAGACCCGTTGACTTTGATGATAATGCTCTCTCTGCACTAGTTGAAGCAGAACCATCTTTAACAGTTGATGAAATTACGGAACGTTTAAATTCATCCCATGGAACTGTTCATAGACATCTACAACAAATCGGAAAAGTTTCAAAGCTAGGAAAATGGATACCACATGAACTGTCAATAGCTAACTGACAACAACGTCAAATGCTCAACTCAAAAGCTTCAACTGGGAAATTTTACCTCATCCACCATATTTGCCAGATATTGCTCCCAGTGATTATCATCTTTTTCAGAGTTTGCAGAATTTTTTAAAAGGAAAAACTTTTGAGGATGAGAACAATGTAAAAAAGGCTATTTCTGAATATTTTGATTCAAAACCGAAATCATTTTACAAAGACAGGATTAAAAAGCTACCATCAAGATGGCAAGAGATTGTACAAAATAATGGTGAATACATTATAGATTGAAATAAAATTTAATTAAAATGTTTTGTTGGTTTTTTGTAGATAAAAATGCGCACAAACTTATGGACTGACCTGATATCTTGCTAGGGGTCGGACTTAATGAAGATTTTACTTCTTAGACATGTTTTATAAAACACTATAAATGCTACTCTCAAAATTAAGTCTTTTGCTGTTTTATAATAATCAAAAATATATAAAGTTTTTATAACAAAATCTCATAACAGATAGCATTACATAGAATCTACAGTCTATTTTTATACATATCAAATATATCAATAATGGTATTGTCGTTGATACATTCATTCGTTAAAAAATTATTTGTTACTAATAAATCTTACATCAGATGATTTAAATCTAGAAACGAAATTTAATAAAGTTAATTAAAAAGTATATTGTTACATATAAACTATTCAGTTTTGATATATTTCCATCATTCATATACAAAATTATTAATATAATAATACTTATAAATGTATACTTTTGCTGCTATCAATCAGATACAAATTTTGTCTTACTGCCCCAAAAGAAGCCCACTAAGCTCAAACATTTTCCAAATGTGGGCTATTAAATATACAGTAAGACCCCGCGTAATGCTAATTCAATATAATGCGGTCTGCTCGAAGCCTAAAAAGAAAGCTCAAAATTTATGCTGATTTAAATTATCGCAGCATTTCATTGATTCATATATAATACGATTATTTGCAAACACAAACCAATCAGCAAAAGGTGGCAAAAAGGTTTACTTACTTTAAATCTATGTATGTTTGGTGCAATTTTGGAAAAAATGTAACGTCATGGATACTGTAAGAAATATTAACTTTGCTTGGCAAGAATTAACTGATAAATGTCCGAACAAAATGATGGCTGAAGGTATCTAAGAATTCTCAACGAGATGAGCCTTTTGCTGTATCATTAGGTTGACCAAACTCAACCTAATCGATATAGCAGGACTAGGAGATATAGACAAGCAAGATAAGTGAGGAGTTACAGCAGGTTTCTGGCGAAAGCCTTACCAGTGATGACCTTCAAGAACTGGCAGAACGTGGAATTCACGTGGAACTGGAAAATACAGATCCCAAAAAATTTCTATACAGATTTCCTTAGTAAAAGTTTGGTAAGATAACTGAAATCGTTGATCAAATTGTAACAAATGATCCAGATTTTGAATGAGTGCAAAAGCAAAACAAGGCATTTTGGATGTGATCTTCTGCTACCAACATTTGCTTAAGGCAAGAAAAAAGTGACAAATGAAACTTCACGACTTTATTGCAAAAGAACAATAATTTCAGAAAAGTCAGGACCTTTATCACAAAAAATGAACTTTACATTTCTGTGTGCATATGTTTGTGTGTTATTTAACATATATTATTATACAAATTAATATAAAATTAAAGTAAAATTTGTTTATTTTTGGTTGCGTGTTCCCCTATCCCCTATATACTCTGTTAAAATGGCCTTGTTTAATGCTGTTTCGCTTAGCACTTCATTGTCTAGGAATGCATCCCCCACATTAAGTGGGGTCTTACTGTATTATACAGTAAATAAGAATCAAATTGAGTGATTGGAGTATTGACCCTCTTTGCTTTTTAAAATATTCTAAAAATTTACAATAATATTTTGTATTATGCTTTATAATGAAAATTACCTTCTAAGTTAGAAGTTTGATCTAAGTTCTTTCTTTTTTTTTTTAAATTTTCAACTCTATTCAAAGGCATTTTTTTTGTTGTAATCAGTTCCAACAAACTTAAAAAAAAAAATAAATTTTTTTCTTTCTGAAAATTTCTAATTCAAAAGTAATTTTTTATACATATTTTACACAGTGTTGTTATTATTTTGGAGGTTACAGGAGGTATTATGTTACTTAAAAAATGAAAAATAATTATATCATATCATTTGATTTTAAGATTTATTTTATATCTTAAAAATAATTAATTATATCCCAGGAAACAGTTCACTTTTTTCTTGACATTCTGGGACAAGCAAAAGACCAAGAAATGAGAAACCCTAATTAGAGGATAGGGACCAGACTAAAGTGCAGTCATGGGTCCTTCAAGTTAGGGGTTGTGTGGGGCTAACACCCCCACAGCACAAAAACTTTTTCCTGTTAAAAGAAGACAAAACGAAAGAAAGGTAGGTTTGGGAGTAGCGGTGCTCCTGATCCTGAGTTGTTTTCCACCAACCAGGAAGTGGCAGGACTGGAATATGCTGAGAAAAAGAAAGTGGAAATGTAAATGTTGATTGGATGTGTGGAATGAAAGTGGAGCAAGAGATAAAATGACTGAAAACAAGTTAGATGTTCTTTACACGAATGAAACAATGAAAGGCAAGGAGATACATGCATGAGATCCAGAGTGACTGTGTGTGGAATGAGAATTGGAATGAGCAAGCCTGTCATTTTTTATATGCAGATGACACTGTGCTATTAGTAGAGAACAGGGAAGTGCTTCAGACTCTTGTTTCTAGTCTTGACGAGGCATGTGAGGAATATATGTTGCAAGTGAATGTGAGTAAAACTAAGATGCGTTTCAATGCGAAGGTGAGCAAATATATTGCATGATTGAGCCAGATGGTGAACAACTGGAACAAGTAAATGAGTTTGTATATTTGTGAAGAATGATAGGTAGGAATTGAAGGACAGGCAGTGAAATCACTACAAGAGTGAACACAGGAACACAGATGGTGGG